GTTAGCAGAGGCTAAGGCTATGCTATGTGGCTCCGCACCGGCTACAGGGGTCTGGCTAACTACCGCAGCTACTGAATGGTTTTCCATGGTGTGGAGCCGCGCTTCTAATTCACTAAGCCTCGCCTCCAACGCAGCAAATAAGCTACACTTATTACAATTACCACTGTCGCTAAAGGAGGCAGAGGCATAACTGAACATTTGGCACACCAAGCAAGAAAGAGCAGAAGGAGAAGCCATCGCTAACTGTAAAGCTAATGTAGCTACCAAGGCTAGTAACGTGCAAACAACAGCTAAGAGATTAGCGAGAAAGTCGTAGAAAGGAGGAGAGCTATAAGTGCTTAAAGCAGCCACACTGGCCACGTGAGCAGCGTTGCTCAGGTGGGTCTCAGCAGCAGCTCAGCTGTGGGACATCTAGAGATTTAGTCTCGCCTGTGTTTTTTCCACATGACGTCCAAGGTTCACAGCAAAAAACAGACAGTGAAAGTGTTCTGTTAATAGTCATATTGACATCATAACAGCAAAATTACACTTTTCACCACAGCTTTAATGTCTATAACTCAACACTTCTTGTTTCGCATTAAAAGCCCTGTAGCGTTTTTTAAATTGACAGAATCCTTTTGTGTGTTTTTATGTGTGTGCTTTCTTTTAATATATTGGTAACTATTATCAAAGACAAAGTCAATGTAAAAAGATATACAGCAACACTGTCTATGTGGACGCCACATGCATGCTAGCTGCTGCAGCTCAGTGAGGTTAGGATTGGGTTGCAGCAATATACCGGTTACAAGGTATACCTTGATATAAAAGTTGATGGTTATCATACGCTGTACATTTGCTCATCTGGATCTGGATCAGCTGGATGGAGAATCTCAGCTTTATTTTATTTACAGTTGGGGGGACTTTAACTATTATTTGCAACTTCCATTAATAAAATGGTTTCAAGTTTCAATTGTTGTTGTAATACTGTGATACCATGAAACCATGATATTTTCTGAGACAGTTATTGTACCATGAAAATCTCATACTGTTGCAACCCTAAGTGAAGTAGACGTCACACACAGATAGACAGTGTGGCACAGGCATTAGTAAATGCCATGCCTCTCATCAGACCCATGGACTTATCCCAGCTTGGATGGCTTACAGGCTCTCCATAGCTTACTGTCAGGACTCAGGGACCAGAATTCGGGATGGCGGACCGTCGGAATGGCAATATTTCGGCGTGGCGGCCTGTAACTGTTGGTTAAATGGCCCGTTCGGTTGGTATTCGGATAACTGGGGCTTTACTGGTATAATGCAATAGCACCACCCAGCGATGAAACCCGTGTACACGAAAAAAATGACCCACTCTAAACATTTAGAGATTTTTGTACACGAACTCACCCCTACATTATACAGTATTTTTGCACTAAAAACATACTGGACAGGAACTGTAACCAAATAACGGCCTGGTGTAGGTCGGTGAAAAAAAAAAAAAAGCCTTGAGCAAATAACCGCCTGGTTCTTTTAAACGCCTGGGGTCAAAATCGATTTTGTGAAATAAACGCCCGGGCTACTATTTGGAAAAATACAGTATATTGTTTACACGACAGCGTGTCATTTCTGTATGTACATGGTAGCGTGTTTACAATTCTCCTCTGCTCTCTGTATCGGGTATGGCGGAGTTCGGCCCTGATGCGCGCACACACACACACACAGACACGTGGGCGTGCACACACACACACACACACACACACACACACACACATGCGCACACACACAGACCAACCTCTCTCGCGCTCCCTCTAACATTTTCCACACGCTGTTTTTGAAATCTTCCGCGATCACCTGCCCCTGGCATTATTCGTGGTTCACCTACTTGAATGGCTTGTTGAGTGAATAGAGGAGGGGAGGGGCAGTATTGCGCATGCGCGGCTTCCGTAGAAGAGAAAATAACATCTCCAGGTGTCCCTGACCAAAAATCGCTTACCCTCGATTTCATTAATTTTGAAATCATTTGACCTCAAAATCGTAATTGCGATCACCAGACGATTTATTGCACAACCTTAGTTCTACCTGTGTTCATAGAGCTAGAATTTTAGAACATTATCATAAATATGGTGTTTGTATGTGACAGTCTTTAATGTGAAAGTTCAATTGCTGCATTACAATTGTAATTCAGTGATACCTTTATCTTTAACAGTTATTTAACCATTTTCAATATTTCTAATTATACTTTTTTCTTTGTTATTTTTGTTCTTGGATTTCACAGTGTCATGTCATGTTGTTTCAAATGTGTATGAATGTGATAAGATCATACTGTACTGTAAGTTATTAACTGAACAGACCAGTTTTGCTTTACTGCTAAATCTAGCAGTTAATTATACAATGTGTTTATTGACATGATCCTCTCCCTATTTCTGTGCTGGGACCGTTTTGAAGGAGCTTCATGGGGTAATGACTCCTCTACCTCTCTCGTCTTGCCTGTCAGTGTCATTGTGTGTGTGTATGTATGTGAGGGAAAACATTCTCACACACCTTCATTGCCAAAACAAGTAATTTCCCCACATATTTAGTCTTATTCAAAGAAATGTATCCAGGCTTTTTTAAAAGGCTGAGGAATACAATTGTATTTTCTATAAGATAGTATTGTCAGTACTTATGAGTTAACTTGGTTGGTATAACCACTCTACCTGAGCTCGCCTTTTTTGCTATACGGAATTATATTCGCACCTTGATTCAGAGAGGGTGATTGGGCATTTAATACACTCTTGCACACACATTCTATTGAGTTACATTTTATAGAGACATTACAAGCAAAGAAAAAAGTACACAAACAATTTACCCTTCTGTTCTCTAAATGTTATTAGTATGCATGCAAAACATCATTCAGAACTGAGACAAAAATATACTTGTCCTTGAGTGATTCCCTGAATAGAACAATGCCATGTTTTTCTCAAAACAACACAAAAGGCTCATCCATGGGCTACTGTGAGTGGAAAATCACCTCACCTTTACTTGACTTCTTTCACCATCATGATTATGATGATTATGATTATTGAAAAATGGTGATTGTAGATGGAGCCAAACAGCAAGTAAAGCTCAGAGTTACAAGATGCATCACCATCAGCTGTTAAGGTGTATTTTTGCTTTAAAAGCCCATAAGACATTCAGTATATGAAGTGAAATTGCTTGTGATGATGGGTGTTTTTGCAGTGTGCACTGTTGTGTCTGGGACACACTCCCATCCTGTCATCCATCTAAGATCTTCCTGTAATTGACCCTCATGTGCTTGGCCAAAGGTCCTTCCTTAATGCTCCCCTCTGCTATAGAGGGGCATGTCACCTGCATGCTCATCATCTTTATCTCCCCCTAGCCTCTGATGAGAGGTGTTTTCATTAGCCCTTTGCCACAGCTCTGCTTGGACTGGAATGATACCATCAGTTTCACATTCCCTATCATTAATTCCCCAGAGGCTTGCTCATGTAAAAAGCAAGCTTCTGCTGGACGGCACATCTTGGGGAATATTCATTGTCTCTGTGTTTTTAGCATTCACATCAGCTAATCATAAACTGTATGACTTGTTCATGTTAGCAGTAGGTTTTTAATGATGCCCTATGACCATACTGTCACATCATTAGTATGCAATTTTTCTTGCCTGTATTTACACACACACACACACACACGCACACACACACACACACACACACACACACACACACACACACACACACACACACACAGATACCTGTGTAGTATGGAGACAAAATGTTCAATATTAAATAGATATTATGAAATTTTGCTAACTACCTTACTACCTATAGAAGTAAACTAGCGCTAATTCCATGGTCAATAGTGAGCATATCATTGAGTAGCTACCTTTGTGAGGTTTCTGGTTACATTTTTAAAAAGCCCAATTAACAACAGGCACATCCACTGTGTAATCTGTTCCCACTGTGTGGAAGCCAGTCCTGTATACTACTTAATCAGAGTTTAGGGTAATGTCAGCAACTATGTCTAGCTCTTTATTGGATTTGGGGAAGTTTACACTCCAGCAACCCCATGAACGTTGTCCAACATAGCATTACCTTGCCAAATACATTGGTTACCATCACTTAAAATGTTAATGGGACGGTAAACACAAAGTCAAAAATACACATTTTCCCTTTTACCTGTAGTGCTATTTATCAATCTAGATTGTTTTGGTATGAGTGTTGGCTGTAGAGAAGTCTACCTTCTCTCCAGTATAATGGAACTAGATGGCACTAGATGGCTTGTGGTGCTCAAAGCACCAAAGTAACATTTGAAAAACTCAACAGCAATGTGACTTTTCAGAAATCATGACCTTTTTATTCAAGATAATCCACAGACCTTGTTGTGAGCAGTTTCATAGTTTCATATTGGAACTGTTTTCTTTCTTCACACGGAAGGAAGTGTGCATCTTTCCTGCTAGCTCAGCAAGCACCACCGAGCTATTAATGTTAGTGTATGTGTAACTATTAATGTTACAGCTTAGCCAAGAAGGACGCCATAAAATGTTCACATCTTCCCTTCACATGCTTAAAGCTTTCGTCAATGCACAGTTCCTTCTGTTGAGTTTCTAAATGTATGTTCTTGGCCCTTTAAGCATTACAAGCCAAGTACCATCTAGTTCCATTATATTGAGAGAAAGTAAACATCTCTTAGGCCAATATCTCCAACACTCTGAAAGTGACACCAAAACAATCTAGAGTAATAAATAGAACTACAGGTAAGAGGAAAAATATGTCAACTGTCCCTTTACAGTGAAAACACGCTATTATAATATACAAACAAGCATGTCTAAATTTGTCTTAAAGATGGATCATCATCGGGTAAGTGTGCTGATGTTTTGCTGGGTACATGTAGCTTTAATCCTGGGCCTCAGCATAAAATCATGCTGCATGTGTAAGACCCTTTAACAACATCCTGATTTTAAAATTAGTCAGCATGGAGCATGAAAAATTCAACCAGAAATATTGTTTCAACCGACCTTTGGAGCTAACTTTACCCTAATTAGCTAGCTACATACAGCTGATAAAATCAACTGCAACAGTTGTCCTTTCAGCTGGAAAACTGACAGTCATTGGCTGGAAATGAGAAGCCCACTATTGTCTACCACTGTCTAAAATCAATAACCATTGTTACTAAGAAATCTGGGTGTTAAATCTGCAACTATTATCACTGTAAACTGCATCGCCATGTAGGAACGGTAATTTTAGCTGTAACAGCAGTTCACAATAACTAAGGGGGTAAGCCTTAACCCTCATCCTACCAACATATTTTACATACAGTAACTACTGACTGGGGTCCCCAGGGACCCCAAGAATAAACTACTGTAGGGAACAACCATTATATCAAAATGTTAACTTATTTGTTGTCAAAATATTATTACAGTACTTATGTAATTATGGCCATCTGAAAGAAAAAAAAACATATTATCATCATTATTATTATTTTAGAAATGTTACAATTAATGTCCATATTTTGTGAAACGAAAATATATATTTTCTTTAATAAAAATTGCAGCTTTTATCCCAAGTGCAAAACACCTAAGTACTTAAGAGCTTATTTACCCTCCTTTTATTCTGGTAACACATAGTTTTCAGGAATTTCAAGTAAACATTGTTTGTGTTATATTTATATGGTGAACCCAGCCGGGGTCATTTTGACCCCAGTGTAAAATAACTAAAGTAAACCCACAGTCAACATTTTTAATTTTGTCTTTCAAACCAAAAGCAAAAGTACAAAAGACCTTGGTCTCAGTGAACAATAAATGTTGAATAACTGTAATTCAAATTTCAAATTTTCAGTTCGAACAGTAACATAAATGAATGCTGTTGCCATAGAACTCATGAACACAGCACACAACAGGCAATTACAGCACACAATTTGGCTCATGTTGTGCTCCCATGATGGCCATTGCTGCTTGTATTGGGGCTTGGAGTGTGGCTGCATCAGCTCTCCTCTTCATGTGTGGCATGACTAGGGCATGTCCCAGCTGTCTCAGGTAGATCCAGCGATGTTGGCCATGTTCTGAAAACTTCTACTGACAGAGTGACCCAACCCAAAATTGGAATGATTGAATAAAGCACCTTTAAGATGACAAAAAGTATACCTCTGGGGTCTGCGGGGACCCCAGTCCATAGGATGAGGGTTAAAAAACAGTGAATTCTAAAAGTTTTTACACCATTTTCCCTAATTACTACTTCATGTCATAATACCACTTTTCATTACAGTCTCTGTCTGTCAGTCATGACAGAAAGGGCAGAACCTGTAACTGTGATTGGCTGTTGGCTCATTCAAAACTGAAGCCACAGCAAATCACATAACTGGCTCTGCCTTGTCCGTTTCGGATGGCATATGCTATGTCATGTTATGAAAAGTTGTGTTGTAAATAAAATCAGATTTGGGAGGAGGGCCATTTCAAAATCAGGGTATTTACTGAAATTGGTCCGTAGAAATCTGTCTGCTTGTGAGAGGAAGTCGGATGAAATATTATTTCATAATACTTCAATGAGTTGCATTTAAAAAATAAATAAATAAAAAAACAGATTGGATGTTTTCAATTTTGTGGTTATATTACACATTGCTGCTCTCCTCTGCTGCATTATTCAAAAGAAAATGTCCTTTTATGAGCCCCCCAGTTCTAGCAGTGATTTTCTCTAACATACACTGAAAAAGAAGCTGCAAACATTATTGTCCCCATGCTTCCTGGTTTAACAAAAAACAAAACACTATTCAAGGCTGTAAATTGATCAGTGTGTTCCTGTCTCTTCTCCTGACTTTGATATGACATGTTTATTCTGTATTTAGTAATGTCACTATCTCTTTTAAAATGTCTAATTTCTTTATTTTTTATTGAACACGTTGGATCTCCGTACTTTGATTTTATGCTTATGCTTTAAGCCCTACATATCTTATACTAGCAGGTTAAATTATACTCAATCACATTATTTGCAAAAGCTGTTATGACATATATAGACTCCTGTTTAAGAGACAGTTGTCATTCACTCTCCATGCATGTGTCTGAAACTCATTTGCCTGCAATCCATTTGGTCAACTGCCTGTGGCAAGGACAACCAATCATAGCATCCTCATCAAAGCTATATTTGTAGAACTGTCATCTCACTGACTTAAACCACTCAATTGTTACGCTCGAGTCTGTAGTTATTTGGTGCATTTCACATTCAATGCTGCAAACTGCTATATTGCTTTTTTTCTATATAGCTTCAGATGCTAGTGATAACCTGGTTTTCAGGGCTGGGGTGATATTTGTATTTGTTTTATCATAATTATCAGTATTATTATTTCGAAAATCTCCTAACAGGCCTGTATAGTTGGCATTTGCCCTTTTTTATGCTTAAGTTAAGACTGAGAAGTTGTTACAGTGTGCAAATTACAGAGCAAGAGCTGAGCAAGTGTCTGTCATAGTC